AGTTATAATAAAGCGCTAGCTAGAAAAACGTATTTTTTATTCAGTCATTCAGCGCAAGGACAAAGACATGGATATGCCTAGGTAGATATAGGCCTTTGTAGAAACTTGAACCATGAAGGCGAAATTTTCGATCTCCCTGGCCTTCAGCATCTTTTACCGAAACCGCCGCAAAATGAAGATTGCTTTATCATCAACCAAAAAATGGGATGTGATTTTTTTTTTGCTAAATAGATAGGCATATACATACATGTACTTAAATATATACATATACATATATACACCCATATTTATACATATACATACATACATAAGGTGATTCAATGTCCATTTATTAAAAAATACCATAGTTTTAGAATGTAAGTTATATATATATGTATATATAGGCATATATATATATATATATATATATATATATATATATTACATATATATATATATATGGTTATATATAATATATATATATATACAGTGGGGAAGATTGAAATTTAAAGCCTAGTGTAAGTTACTTATGTAATCTATATAAAACCCAAAACTACAAATACTTAATAATGTGTGATGATTAACTACTGAGACTCAAAACTCTCAAAATGTATATCTTTATATATCACTGAAGGAGTACCTTCTCCTTACAAAGTTACTATCAGGTGCGTTTATTTATATGCATAATAAAATGAGAAACTGAATTATCATATTATATTAGCATATATAATTAGGCCATATAATTATTTAATTCGTAATTATTTTCTTGCAGTATAGGTTTTACTACCAAATTCCCCCTAATTGTGAAACGATTCATCCAAGCTTAAATGAAATCAAATTGTTACCAGCAATTGCATTGACGGATGGCTGTTCGAATCTCAGATGAGAAGACATAAGAAAAAAATATCATCGGGGGCAATTACGATAATTGTTTAAACGACAGAATAAAGCTCATAGCAGACTGAAATGAACATCAGTTCGCTCACAGGTTAAAAGATCAAAAAGTGATGGTTGGTCGCGGACGTAATTGCCACACTCGACGATATTCTCCGAGTAGAATATTCCCCCAAATAACATACTTAACACATTAGCTAGTTAAATACATAACGGGGTGGGATTATAGAAAATAGGAATTGCCAAATTGCCAATTTCTCCTCGTGTTCATATTTCCGCATGGACGCTCACCTCTTGTATGGCAGTCAACCTGATATTGACAATAATCGTCGTCATTCTGAATGTGTCAAAGCAAGAGGCATATGATTACGCTGGTGTTAGTTATCTCACAAGATAATGTACTGTAATAGATTAGTGACGGGCAGACTTTCACGCTCGATCACCGTCGCTACACTTGTTTATATCGCAGTATGTGACCAGAATGTTATAATTTTCTGAATACTAAATCTAGATTTCTCATGGAATTGCTCTAATAATTCGATAAATATGTCAAATAAAATTATAACAATTCAATATATATAATATAAAAGCCATGTAGGCCTATTATAGGCCTTTATAGATTATTAGTCATTCATTCGTACCATTTTATTATTCATGTATAGTTTTGAAGATACTAATAATAAGCCTATTTAAATAGTCCCATATTTATAAATGTAGGCTTATATTGCTTAATAAAATAAGTAATCAAACAAAAATATAAATAATGTACTTTCAAACAAATATACATTATTTCCTGACGACACAACAAGTTGAGTAATACAAAACACATTCCAACACAGAAAGTAGCCTATATGTAATAGTTACAATCAAATATAAATTCAGGTAAATATAAAATAGTAAATTTGCGTTCTTAAAAAGTGTTGACAGGAATAAATAGGGAAACATTTCGCAATGAAAACAAATCCTATAGTAATATAGTTGAAAACCATTAAAAATTCAACAATAGAAAAACAACAAATGAAGTATAATATTGCAAGTTATTATATCAATCAATATAATGAAAAGGACTTTGTAGATATTTTTTATGATATCCATAAAATTTCCACAATATATTGCTTTTCATTATATTCTAATACAAGGATTGGATATTGAAAACATTTATATAACTTGAAGAAAAATACGTTAAGTACAATAGCATTACTTCTTTGTCATAAGTTTTAAAAATCGACTGAAAAAATATCATATTAAAAATATAGTACTCGTCGATAGCCTCGACTGCTTTGTGATAATCTCAGGGGCTGTTGTTCTGCAACTAGTCTGGTTCAGTTTACGACGCGTATGTCAATAGTGTATAGTTACTGTATAGACAAATTCGTTGGGGAGTCAATACCTTATACCCGCTAATGACGACTTGTCATTTTATAGAATATAGATTGAATTGGGCTGAAAGTGCTTAGAGACTCATACTATGCTATCGGCTTAACATCGCCGCAGGGAAAACCTACACTCGGTTAAGATAATAATTGTAATATTTGACGTCGCTATCATCTCATTGTTTTTTTTTTTATTCTTCAATGTTATCAACTAAAATATAGAATATGTATTTCTGTTAATGATGCCCAATACGAAATTAAATAGCATTTAGTTTCTTGTTGACTAATGAAAACAAGTTTCAAAGAGTTGCTATTACTGTATAAATCAGTAGTAATTTGTTCGTATTGTGTGCATTTTGTCCGTCTCATTGTGCTTGTCGTTCAATAGGATACATATATGCCTATATATACTACGTATGTGTATATAGACATATTAAGCCTATATATCACACATACAGTGCACCCTCTAATTCGAGACTTTTAACACAAAGCTAGCCCATTAATTGGAGCTGGAGACCACCCCAAATTTTCAGGTTCTACAGATGGTCTCGAGTTGGAGGGCGAAATATATATACTGTCTCTTATACACATCTAGATGTGTATAAGAGACAGCGAACAATATATATATATATATTTTATATATATATATATATATATATATATATACATACATATATATACACACATATATATGCGTTTATATATATATGTATATATATGTATGTATATATGTATGTATATATATGTATATATATATATATATGTGTGTATATAATAAATGTATATATATATGTGTATATGTATGTATGTGTGTGTGTGTATATATTATTATACTTACCACTTTTACTTCTACTTATTATGCTACTGCTACTTACTACTATTAACTACTAATTCTGCTACTTTTGGCTACTAATACTAGTAATTTTACGATTCAAATTGTTTGCCGTAATTATATTATACCGGTACTAAACCCAGTGAATCTGTGTTCTGTATTGTACACAAGACATTAAAATTTTACGAATGATTTGACAAGTAAAGACGATGAAGAATGGCTACAATACTCACTACCGATTTCAGATCAAACATTAAATAATGCCTTTGAAGTATATGATAGGCCTATTTGAGTTTTATTAGCCCCAATTCACTTCGAATATAGCATGGTCCGATGCGTTCAATCATCGTGTATATTGCTCTATAAAAATTTGATATCAAGGCCAGAAAGTAGGCTATTGTTACATCCTCTGGAAGTGTATGCGCAACTTTATCTGTAGTGAAAATAATGATATTAATATGTGTCAAAATAAATAAATAAAATTAAATGAAACGAAATAATATTAATTACGGTATAAATAATAATATTATTAACGGTGATATATAGGAATATCTTTAATATATTATAAATATTTATTTATAACAACACACAATACTGTATACTGTATTTTGAACAGAATTAGCAAAAAAAAAAAAAAAGAGCAGCCCATGGTATTTTATTATTATTTATATAAAAATGTATTTATAAAATTACTTTGAAAGTACAGTCTCCAACTAATTCTTTGATGTAGAAAGCGTCATAGGTTTGTTAACATTTTTTAGCCTGCTTGCTACTGTATCATATTTACACGTCTCTCCGGTGTTTACCGCCATTACGTTGTCAAGTTCATTAACATTTCGAAAATGTATGTCATACCTGTTGTTTACGTGTTCGGGAATAATAGGAAGAACTAAAAGTCACCCTAAGGTCGATTTTTAAGTCCGTTCATTGAAATCGGGGACCAACCGAGACTCCTTGCCCATAGTTTACGAGAACAAAAAAACTTTTGTAACTAGTGGTAGACGAGAACGGAGCCGTCTGCTTCCCTAAATCAGTGGGCCTCTCATACACAATAGCATTAATAACATGTGGTGTAACATCCTATCTACCAACTGTGATTGAAAAGAACTCGATAACTGTTTCACTCTGTTAAAATTGTTTTCAATATCACGCTCGAATAAAATAGGAATTTTACAATCGGTATCGGAACACAAAACACAATAGGCTAAATCAGTATTATTGTTGTCTAATATCAAAAACTGAACAGTTGCCTTTTCCTATAGCAACATACGCTACACACAATTTATGCATAGAATTAATTATAAAGTTGAAAATTCTTGGTATTTTAAGCTATTTTTGGCTGTTCGAGCTTAATTAAACATCAAACGATAATCGGTTTAGCTGAAATATATTTGTATTATGTTCCTAACATAGAATGTTTGTCATTTGCTTTGGGCACTTTAATTAATTTGTAGTTGATTAAAGTTATTCATATGAGATCCGTTTTACGAATCTATGTTTACCCTACCTGAAGTGTTATAGTATTGAATACTCAGTACGTTCCCTACTGTTTGCAAGAAAAATCTCGCAAGTGATTCGAATGGGAATCGAACCCACGACCTCCAGTTAACTAGCCTGGTGTCTTAACCACTCGACCACCGAGCTTGCGTTTGGTGGTTAATAAAAAATCCCGATATTTCTTTCGCAAGCATCTGGAAACGTAGCATTCAGCACTATAACATGACAGGTAGAGTAAGCATCGATTTGTATTGTTTTCCCTGAGGCAAAAACGTAATCGAGTTCTGTTTTACTTGCATTATATTTTGACATAAAATGTGCGCCATTCGCTTTAGGCACTTTGTAGTTGATTTAATCATTCATGAAATCCGTGTAGGCCTATGTTGTCAAAATGAATAAGAACATTCACATGTTTTGTCTTTTAGGTCCTGCTGCTCCTCTGCTCTTCACCACTACACCAAGAAGGACAAAACGTCGTCCATATTCTAAACAACAGATTTTCGAACTAGAACGTGAATTCCAGTCGAACATGTACTTAACACGTGATCGACGAGCCAAACTTTCACAAACACTAAACCTGACAGAGAGACAGATCAAAATCTGGTTTCAAAACAGACGAATGAAGATGAAGAAAATGAACGAAAAGGAAAAGAATGACAAAAACAAGAAGATGACAACGTCCTCAGAGCACCATCTAAGTCATCGGAAGGATCTCGGTGACGTTCATTCGTGTTGATGTTCGACGGGAAGCGCATCCGAGGTTACCCTGTTTATTCGACACGGGTTTAGGCAGTCGACCCTTCTTTCGGCCTACCCGCTAATTCCTACCCTTAAATCATCATTACCATACCGGTCATAAAAACATCTTGTTTGGTGTAATAGGCAACACGAGATACGAACATAAGTTCTTTATGCAAAGACATTTGTTTCGCAACGAAGACTATTGTGAATGGTTTTATTGAGCTAGACAGATGTTTTTATGCCAATGACATAGTTGTCAAGTCGATAAGAATGGTAAACAATTGAGTATGCAGCCTTACACAGTGTGAGCATGGTATATATTTAACGATGACAGAAGTAGGCCTAACTCGTCCGTCATAGTTTCGTTAAATTCGTTGGTAAACGAATAGACTTAAAAGCGTGAAGGCCCAGTGTCTGAGATTGTACGTCGACTGCCTCACTATATTTTATTAACGAGTGCGAATAGGCCTGTTCTAAAGCTTGGTTCATCTCAAGGTAATTTAGACGCCTTTCAACGCAAAGACAAGAAATGCATAAGCTTCACCCAGTGTGAAAACACTTGAAATTGACGTGTCTCAATTTAAACCAGATAAAAGTTGGCTGACGCGGCCTGACGAACGTTTATTTTTTTCGCATGTGACATAAACACTTGCGGCTTGCGTTTGCGTCACCCTTTTGCGTTTGCGTACTAAGAGTATTAACCAAGCTTCTCCTTTAGCAAACGCGTCTAACTAGGTGACTTGATAATGCGCATGACATGTAACTACGGACGGAGAGCTCATAAAAAAGAAAAAAAAACATAGGCCTAGTATTGAAATGTGAGCCAGTCGAAGTTTCGACGCGCTCTGCTATCATTATCCACATGTTCACTCACGTTTATATTTGAACTTATGTCTAAACGACCTATGAATTTAGTGAAAAATGGCATATTTAGGCCTGTATGCAATATAGAATATTACGATGAAACTACAACCGGGTATGACAGTCATATAATGACAAACGATATGGTACTACCTGTTGATAGTTTATAGTTCACCGGCATTGGTAAGGGATGGGGTTACGAAATAATCATTATAATAACAATCGTTACAGTGTGTATTAGAAATGCCGTAAATAGTATTTATTCATCGTTACATACCGTACCACAGTTGTCTTTACGTTATATTTTTGTTTTTATTGGCCGGTCCTATCTATAACTACCTCTTATTATTTTCTGAACGATTCGACTAGGTTATATGTTAACACAAAGAATGTTAAGCAATTTGAAAAAAAAAAAACAGGATTGTTTATTTTTGTTTGTTGTGAATAGATTACTGTTTCAAGAATTATTTTTTAAGTATAACACCTTGAATCCAATGCTACATGTTTACATTCATTGAATTAATTAAGAAAATATTTCATTAGGAAGAAATCACTGGTGTAAATATTCATTCAGGCCTACAGTATGCATGAATATAAAAAGAAAACTTTACGGAAACTCAACAAATATAGTGTACTAAGAAATAGGCCTGGATCATACTCATTCAACTTAATCTAAAAAATAATCATTCTATAGGCAAACTTTGCATGATCTTGCCAATTCATTATATTTATATTATGGACTTTTGAAAAGACTATTGATAACTGATTATATTTCGTGGTCACACGCGTGTTTATTTTGGGAACGTCATTAACAAACGTTAATAATACGTGGTGACAGTTTGAAAACCAATTGCGTTACTAAGTTACTGAGTCACCCGTATGTCGTACGCGTGTCATGGCACGTAATATCAACCTCCCCTATCAATGGCCTTATTTAATACGTGATTATCATTTTCATTTTTCAAGATGACTTGTAATCCGTTTTGATCCTAAATTAATCTCGTATTTGCATAGCCCTTATCTCTTGTCATGTTAGCGCTTACTAATATGACAAATACCAATCGGCAAAATTATTAATATCAAAAATAGCCGTCAATCACCGGCTTCAGGATTTCAAATGAATTAAGCAAATCCATAGTAGAAACCCGATATGTTTCGTTAATAAGAAGAATATAGGACTTACCATCTGAAATCATTATCAACGTTTTTTCGCTTGATTTATACATTTTGGGACTTATTTTGCACAAAATAAATGACTACATTTACTTCAATCACAAGCCTCGGCTCACTTTTTCTGACACATCAAGTTAATTGTGATATGAAAAATTGAATTCGTTCCTACTTTCACCGTTCTGGATCATTGTGGGCTTTTTTGAGGTTCTTTTATCTCGGGTATATTTCCACAGAAGAAGAATGACCTCTGCAATGTGCATGTATTTTAAATAAGTAAAAAATGAAATGGGATGTTAATTGAATATCCCCGTTTATTTATCCATTGCATAATTCATGGCCATAAATGACATTTTTGTTCAATTTAAGACTGTCCATTTTTTGTGTTCAAAGCCTAGATGATTAGCTGGCAGCAGTATTCGACCCAGCTAAAATGCTCGGGTTATTGATTCTGGTCAAAGTATAGGTTATAGTTCGTGCTCAAATATCGCACGCTTTGATGTACCACTAAACTACATTACCATCACCTCGGTGCAGATATCATCTACAACATCCTGGAGGCCATTACATGTTGGTTTTATATTATTGTAGACCTAATTATAGGCCTAATAGTGACACAGTAGATAATGTTAAAAAATACCTCACTAAACGCCCACAAATGTGTGGCATAATTTTCATCCATACCAATGAGAAAGTAAATTTGAAGAAAGTAAATTTACTTTCTCTATGTTGTTCATTTAATATCTAAACCTATTTAACACCTAATAACACCTTAATGCTGTTGGGTACGGTGAATGTTCATCATTATAACCCCTTAAGGCCAACTCAAACAGCGTCGTAGACGCAGCCTGACGCGATTTGTTGTCGCGTCGGGTCTGTGTGAGTTAAACGCAGACGCGATGGTGTGCGTCGGAGGCAGTCGCGTAGTAGAATATTAAACATGTTCTCACGACGGCTTAAGACTGTCCCCGACGATAAATCGGATCGGGCTGCGTCGGCCGACGCTGTCTGAGTTGGCCTTTACCCAACCCAATAAAAGCACCCCAACCAAGACTGTAAATAAAAATTATGTTTGTCATAATGATTCTACGTCATTTTGGAGAAACACCATACATTTGTATACATCCTTTGTTGGAGGAACTAATCGAGTTTAACAGTTATTCCTCAAACATACTCAACGCATTGTTGTACATTTACAGAAACTTTATAGTAAGTAAAGAGTATTTTACGCGAGAGCAGTATACTTAACGTAAGTTTAATTTCATTGTGCTGAGACAAGAATTTCAGTTCATGTAGTATGTTTATCTGGGTCAAAACTCATTACCAACATGACTGATATGCGTGTTGTGTCTTTAACTCCTATGCGACAGTTGTGTTTTTATGATAATATATGAATATCTTGTCATTTTATAAAAAAAAAAAAAAAAAAGGAATTCCATACTCATCATTTGTCAGACATTTTTATTTCTTCTTCATAGACAATCCAAAAAGTATGTCAGGTATCGTTGCAATAGAAAAAGCAAATCATAATAAAAATGTATGAGTGATGAAATATGAAGCGGGGTACTAATTAGTAGAGGCATCTATTGGTATTAATATTCATTTGGTTAGAATTGAAGATTCTTTCAAACAGTATTGCAAAAATTTTCATCAAGAGATGGTCATCGTTTTTCGAAACGTACCGTATAAAATATCTATCTCAAATCCTCACCATGTATAAAGATCTAATTTATTTAAGCATTGGCTTATTTCGTTTGAATACTTATTTATTTTTACTATTTTCATTATTCTTATTATTATTATTATTATTATTATTATTACTATTTTTATTATTATAAAAAAATATTATTATTATCATTACTATTTCTATTATTATTATTATTATTATTATTATTATTATTATTATTATTATTATTATTATTATTATTATATTATTATTACTATTATTATTAGGGCTTATTTATTACTATTATTACTATTAGGGTTTATTTATTACGGTATTAAAACTTATGATATGTATGTTCTAAGAATATGGAATTCAACATTTGTTTACAATTCCCCTTTACCATGTCTCATAATTTCATCATGTAAGCCTATGTGGCTATGCTAAGATTGTTTTCAGATTATAAAAATGCCTAGTTGTACAGTTGTAATGTAAATACATTTTTTAATCCAATAAGGTGTTATATTGCTGTACTGTTTGTATTTATTTTCTCTAATGTTTCCATGGCACATTTATATTATATTGAACCCGGAACATAATTATTTTATTATAAAGTATTTGTGTTATTTTTTTTTCTTATACTGTATTGTTCGTTCTATTTTTTTTTTCAATTTTTTACGAATTTTTGGCGCACAATATACAAACAAGTTTTCAAATGTCATTATTTTCTTAATTTATAACATTTTAGAAAATATAATAATGAAACCAAAACAAAATAATAACCAGAACAAAATAAAAGCATCAAATTTGTATCAATTCTACAATCACAATGTAAGAATAAAAGGAATTAGGCCTATTGATAACAATAACAACTAAATAATAAATAATGAAGCAAATATTTAATTTAAAAACAATAATTTGAAAAGACATATTTAATTACATAAACATTACTTAGAATAAGCTTAATAACAAGAGTAACTACTTCCAGCAATATAAGATGATGATGATGATGATGATGATGATGATGATGATGATGATGATGATGATGATGATGATGATGATGATGATGATGATGATGATGATGATGATGATGATGCTGGATGATGATGATGATGATGATGATGATGGTGATAACCAGGAAGATTATGATGACGACGACGCTTATTATGGTGATGATGTTAATGATGATGATGTTGATGGTGATAACCAGGATGATTATAATGACGACGACGCTTAATATGGAGATAATGATGGAGATGAGTGTGGTGATAATGATGATGACATCGACGATGTTGCTAGTGGTGGTGATGATCATGATTATAATGACGATGATGATAAGGATTATGACAATTTACTAATATGCTTAACTTAGCTGAAGTTAGTTTTAGTCTTGGGTAAACGAAGATGAAGTTGATGATGATAGCGGTGGTGATGATGATGGTGGTGCTGATGATGATGATGATGATGTTGGTGACGGTTGATGTTAATGGCATCATGGTTACTCAGTCCACGTTAATTATAATGATAATATAAAAGTAATACTATAATAATATTATCAATATTATTATTAATAATAATGTTAATAATGTTTATGACAATGAAATTTATGATCATTTCTATTAGGAATACGTTGTTGGCAATTCCTAAATTATATATCGTTCTGATACCAAATCATTTATTTGCCAACTGGTTCTTAGACGATCTTATTCAACTAGTTCCTAATTTAAAGGAATATGATAATGGATAAATCCATAAAAAGAAATTTAATAACATTAATATTGTATATAATCAACTTAAAGCTGTGCAGAGAAAACCTGCATATTCTAAGAGTGGGTAAGTATGAGTTGTGGCCGGATGACGAATATCTTTGCTTTTTTTTAACTGTAGGCATACGGTATATCCTCCTGTATACCTCTGGAAAAAATGTATAACGCAGGCATTGAAAAAGGAAAAGGAGTTCTCTAACCTATTGACTATTATCGTTATGCTCCGGAACACGAGGATGTGATGTTCTCTGTTTTAAAATAACAGGACCGACTTTGATAGAAGTACAGAAACACGATAGCAATCGACGCCAGTACCCGTCACAGTCCAACAACCATGCTTGCCATACTTGAATAAAAGACAGATCGTCTGGTGAATAGATGCTACCGATATTCTGTTGCAGTGCCCCTTTCCCTTTGCTTTGTTTCCAATTTCTTTACAAAAAAAATTAATTGGGATATGTAGTGTTTATGATTTGATGCATTACCATGACTAAATAATACATGATACCCACACGATATAGAAATCTGTTACATTAGGGTAATATATTTAGAGGTAAAATAGTTACATTAATTACTGGAACTAATTTTGGTATTACGCAATGTCACACTGCAGTATCGAAGTGTTAGAATTTTATTTGAATTTGAAAACAATATAAAGACATCCTTTGGGTTGCAGGATTAGTAAAAGACAGCTTCTGATATATATATATA